ATTGCTTTGAGCTTGTGGAGGATTTCTGAGATAGAAATGTATTTGATTAATAACTAAATGAATAAATAAATAGTTTGCTCCTTTTTATTGGCCAGTGAACAGGAAATCACATTAATGCACACTTATTTTAGAACAGGGAATCGTAATGCAGGTTTTAGTAAACTCTTATACTTACAAGAAATTTCAAAATTGCCCAGGAGTCTGCTCTTGAAAGGGAAAAATACCACTGGATATGCCTAAAGTACCTTTTGGGATTCTTTCCAAAGGTTTTTCTTTCTTTCTTTCTTTGTTTCCTTCTCCCAAAGCTTCTGGAAAATACTTTCTCAATTTAAAAAAAAATCTCCTTCTCTTTCTCTATATGCATCCTACATACTTTAAATCATGGGCCCAGGATATTTTTTTTTCTTTTGGTAAATAAATAATAGCAGTACTGTCTGGTGATTAAAACTAAGCTAAAACCCATTGAAATAATGCTTAAGTAGATCTAGTGGGTAAATTTGTTGTGAACTTTCAGGTTTTAACGTTTTTTTTAAATCGGGCAACCTGAACAGGGAAAAAAGGAAGGGGAATGATGGTTGCATTATGGGAAATCATTTTGTTTTTCATATTTTACTTTGGGGAAACTACAAATACTGTAAATAATATTTACTTTGGGCAGGAGCTCAAAGGAGCAAAACAAAAACAGTAGAATAATAATAACATAATAAACAAAAATAATTGCTCCCGTCTCCAAGCTAAAGAGCACACCTGAACAAGACCATTTTCAGACCTTAGGAAATGCAAGGAGGGAAAGAGCCAGACATGTGTTTGTGACAAGAGTATTCCAAAGTCTGAGAACTAGCATTGAAAAAGCTACTCTGTGGCCCTACATCCCACGAATCTTTGGAGGAGGTGAGACCTTCAGCACATCTCCTCTTGGTTTTCAGACTGAACAAACCGATTCACGTGTGTTTTATTTTTCCTTAGGACTAATAGACTACAACTTCCACTGCTTCCGCAAGGCCATACATGAAGTATTTGAAGTGAGAATGAAAGTAGTCAAAGCACAAAAGAATCAGAACCAAGTACAGAAGAATAAAAGGGCCACACATAATGGCACACCTAGAATGCCACTGTAATTGAACTCTTGATGCCCACGGGTAGCACCTAAGGCCTATTATTTGCTGTAATGGCACCAGCTTTGAGAACCAGCAGACAAACGGGACTGGTGTACACTTCACTTGGAATTTTCCACACTAGCCACTCCTCAAAACACTGTAAATCATATTCTGTGTTCATGTTAAGGACAGACCTGTTTTGCACTTTTGCCTGATTTCATGATGAAAATGGACTTTTGATAAATTACTTTTTATGTATAGTCTTGAGTAGAATATATATCATAGTAAGCGTACATGCTGCACACAAATGAACAATCAAGAAAACATGGTAAGATGACTTTTTTAACAAGTCTGTGAATATCTATTTTCCATCTTGTAAGCTGGAAATTAAAAGTATAGTACAATAGCAATAAAAACATTTATTAGGTGTCCTTACTGGTACACTAAAAAATTTGTTTAAAAAAAGTATTTGAAATTGAGTATCTCCCCAATCATTCCATAAATTCTGAGAAAAATCCTCTTTATTCTTTATATTGTCTACATAAAAGTACCTTTCGATAAACAGACTTATTTTGAAATGGATGCATGCTGTGTCTGGTTTGTTTATTTTTACATTTTTGAGAATGACAGTGGAAAAAAGCATCCTGATTTAACAAAAATGGGAATTGCAATAATTTTGTGCAGAAAGGGTAAAGCACAAGTACTGTATATAATATTTTATTATGGATGACTCCAGAAGAGAAATCTCCAGTCACTTTTAAATCTAAGGCTGAGTAACATTGTTTACTCCTAAGAGTTATATACTATATAAAGTGTATACCCGTGGTGGCGAACCTATGGCACACGTGCCACGCAGAGCCCTCTCTGTGGGCACGCACGCCGTCACCCTAGTCCTAGGCCTTCAGCTGGGTTTTATAAAACCTTTTGGCTTTAGGCCTCCACCGCCCTGTGCAAAAAAAAAAAAAAAAGGTTCAATGAATCAATTTCAACTACTTGAGGGAAAAAAAGATCTCGCAAAGTTGGAATTGAATGATTTAACTTTTTAGTCCCACCCAGTCTGCTGTTACCACCGCAGCCATGCCCACCCAATGGGCCATGCCCACCCGGCACCTGATGATACATAAGTGGGTTTTGGGTTGCAGTTTGGGCACTCAGTCTCTAAAAGATTCGCCATCACTGTATTCCAACTGGCAGGAGATCTAGAGCGATCCTGCCTTCAATTGCAAGATCGGTGTGCTAGAAAACTCCCAGTATTTTGTAGAAATACTAATTGGTAATAACCAGCATTGTAAGATTGGAGAGTTGACTTTCTCTTGGAACATTTCTGAGAATTCCAGAAGCTGTTTGCAGTATTCCAAAGACGATGTTTCATGTGAAACATCTTTGCTGGAATACCTGAAACCATTTTCACTTTGGAAGTTTTACTCCCGGAAACGACCTATTCACTCCTTGAATAGCATAGTCTAAAGAGACACTGAATATTTTGAACTGATGGATTTTGCATATGCTTGCTATAATTCTGGTAAACATAGTACTTCATAATGTTTTAAGGATCTGAAGACATACTTGTTTTGAGTTAAAAAAATAATGCCTAATCTCAGGATTCTCCCTCGTTTTGCTTATCTTTATGAATATATTCTGTGTAACAGACATTTTGTCTGTTTGAAGGGTATATCAATTTCCTCTGATTTTCTTTACGCTAGATACATGATTGGGCAATTAAAGATAGCTTGTTCTTTCCAATTATGAAGTTACAAATGAAAAAGAAGCTTAAAGGAAATAATTCTTCTGGAGCCAAAGCTTTGGACAAGCAAGAGATTATTTATTCAGCAATTATGGCACTTTTCTCTTTTGCTCTTGTAAAATTGTTTCTAGTTTTTCCAAAGAATGGATTTAAAATGTTAGATTAGTATTTGAAATGCTCATGATTATGAACTGAGGTGTACATTTAATATTCAATTTTACAATCGTTCTTTCATTATTGATAAGTTACAATCATTGAAAGTGATCCACTAGAGACTGCTAATATAGTAAAAAAGTACCTTAACAGTATAATTTCAGGAAAAGACACAAAGTTAGATCATCAGTTATTCAAGTCTCACGTTTTGTAAAGATCCCCCCCCCAATTTGCTACTTTTTAAATTCTGGTTTGAATGATTAACCCATTTGAGTTATATAAAGATATTTTTCCTCCTTTGGTAGTTATGTGTGTATGCATATGTATGTGTGTGTATTAGTGTGTATAGGCAAACTCATACAAACAATTAACAGCAACAAATTGCCTAAGAACTGTTGAACAGGGTAAGTATCTCCAAATCTGCTGATCTGAAATAAATCTCAATTCAATGACAAGCCTAACTCATGCATATGTATCTGAAGGTCTCAGTACTACACAGGGTAGGCCTTTTGGAACGAAGAAGGCAGCAATCTTATCTGCCATTCTCTAATTCAAATTCAGTTCAGTCAAGAGAATAATACTGTACTGTACTTGAATACTATTTGGGGGTATTCAGGCAGCATTTTAGTGATCTAAACTCCAGTGATGTGAGCAGAGAACTGGTACACAATTTGCACATCCCAAAATGAATCTACTTAATTCATTAGAATACTGTAGTCCACAATTCAACAATTACATTTCTAACAGTGCCAGAGGGGAGAGCTGTTTCTCTACTTCTAGCAGTGCCTTGCTTCGTTCGTATTCATAAGGGAATATATACAAATAGGGGGGGGAAATAGGCCATTTTTGTGTCAACTGTTCTCCATGTGTCTGGATTTATTTCTATGGTGGTTTGGGGAGCTTTTATTCTACTTCAATCATATGATTCCAAGTGGTGTACAGCTGCATCCCCAATGTCTGTAATGTACAATATTACAGCAAATTCAAGAAATTCTAATCCATAATTGGATTTCATACTTGGGCTAATGGTGCTATTGCTCATTACAAATGCAACCTTTCCACTGCTCAACTTCTTCAATACTAGGAACGTGCCAGCCTTCTACCTAGTGAATACTTCACAAATGGGGAGCTTCTATAGAAAAACAAAATGGTCCTGTCTCTTCCCTTCACACTTCGGAAAGAATAGGGACTCTCAGGAAGCGGGCACACCTTGAGCCTTCAGTTTCAGGATGGAATAAAGCAGTGTTTCTCAACCTTGACAATTTTAAGGCACGTGGACTTCAACTCCCAGAATTCCACAGCCAGCAATGCTGGCTGTGGAATTCTGGGAGTTGAAGTCCACGTGCCTTAAAATTGTCAAGGTTGAGAAACACTGGAATAAAGGGAAGCAAGGTCCAAGCTACGTTGGATTTTTGAAGATGGCAAGGTAGCCAATCTGGAAGCCAACCGGCAAGCAACGCAGCTCTGGTAAGTAGTGGCGTTATATGGGACATCACAAATTCTAAGTAAAAAAGCTTGAGCAAAGCACTGTGACATGCTACAGTACGTCTAAAAATAATTGTGTTTGGGTTCACACGACAGTAATAAGTCATGGTTTACTAACTGCAACCCCTGTACTTGACCAAAGACATTATGGTCTAGTACAGGGGTAGGCAACCTCGGCTCTTTTATGACTCATGGACTTCAACTCCCAGAATTCCCGAGTCAGCGGAATTCTGGGAGTTGAAGTCCATGAGTCATAAAAGAGCCGAGGTTGCCTACCCCTGGTCTAGTAGTTAGTATATGTGTAGACACCTGTTTACTATTTTGGTTCTGTATGAGGGAAACGAGGAACTAAGCCAAAATACCCGGCGGAGAGAGGCTGCTACACAGTAGTCTGTTTCTTTAAACGTTACATGGAAACCAAATTGAGAAGAAAGACGTTAAGGGCCTGCCGCCACGTCAGGAGAACTTCCGGGCGGCTGCCGCCGCGGCGGCAAAGCTTACGAGACCGCCGGGGAGCGAGGGAGCGGGGAGGGAAGCCCGGCTAGTTAGTTCCTCCTCTCGCCTGACCGCCGCCGGCGTTGTTGTCGCTGCGAAGCGCCTTACGTGGCTGGACTGCTTGCGCTCCGCCGGGCGGAGGACGGCATCCCAGGCAGGCTCCATCATGGAGGCTCGCTACAATCTCAAAAGCCCGGGTGAGTAGGGGGGGCGAAGGCGGGCAAGTTAAGGCAGCAGGCGCCGGGCAGCGCAGAAGTCTTTCGCGGGAGGCGGCTGCGTGGCTGACAGCGCGGGCGGCCGCCGCCACGCGAGCCCGAGGCTTTGTGGTATGGCTAGGCCGGAGCCGGGGGGGGGATTTTCCTTTTTACATCGCTCCCGTAGGGTACTTGAAGGGGGCTCCGGCGTTTCGCCACCAGGACCTTTGCTCAGCCCAAGGGACGTGGCTTGTATATTTCTGTCTCTGGCTGCCGACTTCCCGAAGAGGCAAAGTGAGAGTTGCTGGAGAGTCCCGGAATCCATCGGGCGGATGATGATGGGAGGGGAGGGGAGGGGAGCGGGACGGGGACGCTTACTTTCGTTTTTGTCTTTAACTTCTGTTCTTGATATCGTGTATCTATTATACCGGGGCTTTTCAACCTTTTCACCCATTGTACCACTTTTAGGATAGGGCAGCATCCGAGTACCGCCAGCCGCCTAGCAAGGTGCCAAAAACTTGATGACCAAAAAAAAAGGAAAAAAAGTGATAAAGTACAGGTAGTCCTCGACTTACAACAGTTCGCTTAGTGACCGTTCGAAGTTACAATGGCACTGAAAAAGTGCCCCCCCCCCAAGCCACAGCCGAGCAAGACACCTGCCTGCCCGCCCGGCGGCGCTCTTCCTCCTGTCCGAGGTTTTCATTGTTGTGAGCATTTCTGTTGAGGATTGGCAGCGGGGGTGGGGTGGGGGTGTGTTTGGTTTTTATTCCCCCCCCCCCGTCTGCTGGGTGGTTGCAGCAGGTTTTGGTCACTTCACATGACCCTGGGACACTGTGACCGTCATAAATATGAATCGGTTGCCAAGCATCTGAATGTAAATCACAAGACCCCGGAGAGGCTGCAACATTCCAGCTGATCGGGGCTTCTTCAGGGCTCAGCAGAAGCAACAGGATCAGTGCTGAGCTCCAGCTGGTGCCTGGCGCTGATCCTGGTGCTTCCACTGAGCCCTGACAGCCCCGAAGAAGCACCGATCAGCTGGAAAGCGGCACTGATCCTGGCGCTTCCGCTGAGCCCTGACAGCCCCGAAGAAGCGCTGATCCTGGCACTTCCGCTGAGCCCTGACAGCCCTGCAGCTCCAGCCATCTCTCGCTCAGGCTTGTGCGGTGCTGCCACCGGTTCAGCTCATTCCCCTCCCCCGCTACCACTTTTCTAGGATGGTCGCGTACCACCTGCCAGGTGCCAATGTACCACAGGTGGTACCCGTACCACTGGTTGAAAAGCCCTGTATTATACAGCGTGTATGTGTGTATTCACATCGTATCTTAAAGGGCTTAATATGAAAGACCTATTTTAAAGAATCTTTAAGAATAAAAGGCATGTTTATACAAGATTGCACCCATCAATTCCACTGCCAAATGTAGAGGATATTAATTGAGTGGAGGTACTTATTATTCAATGGGGCATGTGTAATTTACTCAGCTTTTTTTTTTTTACTAAGTCAGTGCAGTGTTGTCAAAAGATAACCCAGCAGACTTACCGTTTTATCCAGATGTAAAATTTTTGGATTATTATGGTGGTGTTTTTCATTGTTTACTTGAAGAATTGCAATGTCATATTTAGGATATCTTTGTATTGAGTATTTTATTTCAGGGAAGTCCAATGAGTATGTAAGCGATGATTAAAATGTACTTTGACTTTAGTACTTTAGTACTTTATCTATCTTCTGTCCCCCTTCTTCCCTGCCCCTCTCCTTTTTAGTTCCCCGAAGACACAAGGACAGATGCTACATCCAGAACTTCTGAATATTCCAGCTATTCAGTTTCTTTTTTGATCTCTCCTATAAAATATAACATTTAACAATGACATAACTTCTTTGCAACAAAAACTGTCATAATAGGACAGATAGAAATCAGATCTGGCAGATTAAGAGTATGTGTTCAGATTTTATTTGCTGGAAGGAGAGTATGTGTTCAGATTTTATTTGCTGGAAGAGTGACCATTGCTTTTCATACCTCTCTGTTCTCAGAATAAATGTTATCATATGACTATGCATTCACAGAAAAATATCCCATCTTCTGAGTAGAAAAACAAAAATAGTCTTAATAGAAAAGGAGAAAAATATGTAAAGCCAAGATGCTATTAACAGGAATGAAATTTACCATAATTATTGCTGCCCACTATCATTTTCCAACTAGACAAGGGGTAGGCAATCTTGGCTCTTTTATGACTCATGGATTTCAACTCCCAGAATTCCTGAGTCAGCATAGCTGGGAGTTGAAGTCCAGGAGTCATAAAAGAGCCGAGGTTGCCTACCCCTGAACTAGATCTACCCATGTTAAAGCTGCACTGTAGTATGCCTGTCTGATAATACCATCAGGTATTAATTGTGCATAGAAATAACCTCTGCTAATTGTTACACATCTAGCCAAGTTAGAAATGTAGTAGTTGATTAGCCCTCAGTGTTATGTACTATCCATAAAAGTGAAGGAAGTTTATAC